GTGCAAGTGGCAGGCACTCACATGTAAAGCTCCATTTGCACAAGTGGAGTTTTGCATGCTCACAACCGCTTGCATGGCCTGGTTCCCAATGGGCTATGATCCAGTACCAGCTCACGGCCTATGGATTGGGGACTCCTGACTTAGAGATCACACATAAAGAGAAATGAAAAACTGTAACTATTGGTATGAGTCATCCAATTCATATTCTTAAGAAAGAATAAACAAATAAGCCTTTTGTGTCTGTTGAAATCTAACATGGATGAGACTGAATTGAGTTTGGTCAAAATGTAGCACTAGCACTATGACTTATCATCATAGGGCTTTACAGCACTCTCTGAGCAGTTTACAAATGTCAAATATTTCCCCTAACAATCTGGGTCCTCAGTTTACCAACCTCCGAAGGATGGAAGGTTGAGTCAATCTTGAGTGGGTCAGGATCGAATTCTTGTTTGTGGACAGAAATAGCCTGCAATACTGCATTCTAACACTGTGTCACCACCAGTTTTGTATCCTCTACATGCAGGAAACAAATATATAACGGAGAAAATTTCAGTTCCACCCACTCTGACGACATGACACCCACTGTATGTCCCCCAAACACAGAGGCCAAGTGAGTGCAAATGGTTGCCCATCTTTGCTGTAACAAAAGATGTGTGTTCTGAGTCCTGGGAAAATTGTAGGACTCTGGGTGAGTGTTGGACAGTGCTATCATCCCCTGCAGTCTTCTTACAACCATTTGTCTGTAGTAGGGTATGACATAGGGTTTCCTGCTTGAGCAAAAAGATTTCCAAAGTCCTGTCCAACTCTGTTATTCTGTAATTCACTTTTTTATGCAGCACTTTCCCAATTTCCTTACTGTTTTCTTTTAAAGACTTAATTTCCTGTTTATCATCCTTCTTATATTTCTTTATCAATTTGTCTGAATCCTTCTGTTATCCAGAACTACATTTGGACTAAGTTGTAACTGAAATCAGTAGTGTATTTTTTTTTGAAGAAACTGACTTTTAAGCCAAATAAAATTATTCAAATTCTTTTTTTACAGCAAAGGTTCAGCAATAAACATAACCAGATAAAACCAGTTAAGAGAAAATAAAAATGATTGTCAAGTTATATTTGTGAGTTTTTCCTTATTTTTATTACTTCAGCAATTAATTTGGCTACTGTATAAGTGGTGTAGGTGTAGTATAGGCTAAGTAGTTTTTCTGGGTTGAGCCTGAGAACATATGTATATGTATATGTATATACATAAACACTCTGATTTCTCTTCAAATTATATAAATCTTTTGCTTTCTAAAACTATCATAGCTTAATAGCTACAGAGTTAATTAAATAGTATTTTTAAGAGTCAATTATAAGGACTGTGCAGCCATAACAACACAATAAAGAATATGAGCCTGAAGAATATAAAAAAATGGGGTACAACTAATTAAGAAGGACTATCTAATATTGATGCTTACAGCTCATTCCAATACTTTTTCAGAGCAGTACCTCATTTTTAAAATGCAAAGAAAACAATTACTAGGTTCATGCACTGCAGTTAGACCTAAGGCACAGTAAGGAATGACATACTTTGATTTTGGCTTGGTGGGATATGCAAACTAAGTTAATTGTTAACAATAAAACATATTAAAAAACATGGCTTATAGCGATGTGTAGTCTATCCCATGTATTATCCTGTTGACTACATATAGACCGGTATAGTGATACTTAGGAACGCCAATTGGGCCAAGTTCCATAGATGCATGAACATTTTTTCACAATTATTGTAAACCCTTAATATTGTACTTTATAAAACTCTTTTGGGATACACTGCTGTAAAATAATGATATCTACTAAACTATGTCTGCTGCAAAAACATGGATTTATTTGAAATTGTTAAGCAAACATATAAACATGCAAGCATATAAAATGAAAGAAACCACTATATTTTAGCTTAGCAGAATGGCTTGAAAAGAGTATGAGTATCTTCTTTCTGTAGACAGACCCCTGATGCCTTGGTTAAATTTTGAGAGTAGATAGGTGTCTGTCTTTCTTAGCTGTAAACAAGAACTGGGATAATCTTCCCAGGAACACGTGAGCTGTCATGTATCGTTCTAATCTGCAAAACTCTGCAAGCAAATGTACTGTCACATGCTGATTTTCCTTTTCTTTGAGAAAAGTAGCCCTGGGATCACTGATGGATTGTTTGCTCTCTTTTTAACACAGTCAAGATGCTGAATGCCCTCGAGTGATAGTGTGCAATGCGAAGCAAAGCAGGACTGATGACCCAGTTCCAGTTCACCTTACAAAGCCTGTGCAGTCTTTGAGCAAGACTCCAGAAAAGGATTATTCACACTTGCATTATATTTTTGAATGCATTTTCTTCTTGTGCAGCTGCAAAAGTCCCAACACTGAAGATTTTGCACAGAGATTTAAAAGAGATTTAATTTTCTCCTCCAGCTTTTTACTCTTGCTACCTAATTTCTTCTACAGCTCTGGACTATAGCAGAACATTTATGTTCTCAAACAATGCAGCACAAACATCATATTGGTGACAAAAAGAGGATAAAGAAACTGCTGTACAAAATCTGAACTCTCTCTTCTTTGACAAAGAAAGCCATTTCCTCTTCCTTAAGCTAAACTTTGTGTGAATATCATGCATTATTTTATGAAATATTCCTCATCTATCTCAAAATAACACAGATATTCATACATCTTTTAAAAAGGCAGCATCACTTAATTAACTGACCATACTTTCATAAAAAATAGCTCAAGGAACTTTGTTAAAAGCTGCTGTGTTCAGAAAATATTCCTGTTTTCTATTTTAAATAGCAAGAGAATTATATATTATCTCTACCACAAAATACATCATTTATAACAAATAGATGGGTATAATCTGCATATAAAACACTATGTAAGGGAATGACAGGTTTGGTGCATAATACTGAGTTATAATGCATAATGCACAAAGCCTAGAATTAAGCAAATATATCTGAAATTTGACAAGTACCAGAACTCAGATTCAAAGAAAGATGAGTGAGATAGTTATTGAATTGTGCTCTATAAGGAGTTCATTTGCAACAACACAGATTGATTTGTTTCATTTTAGAACAGGACATCTCATCTTATCAAGCCTGAGCACTGGGAGATATCTCAGACTTCTTTATGAAAAACAAATTGCAAATACTCTCTTCACTCTGTAAATATTTACAAATACTGTAGTCTGTTAACTCTGATCCTCTCTTTGAACAAATTAATCAAAAGGGGTCCAAAGAATAATCTGACCATGACAACAGATTGATGTAAATATCTTGATTACTCTAACATAAACACTGCATTTAATGTTTCCGACTATATGTGTTAGGTCCAATATAACTGGGACATCATTTGGTTGTGAATTCCTGGGCTGCTATCATAATCAGGATGGTAAGTTGAAGTTCCCCAGCACCCAAGAGCCAGAAACTCCAGTAAATATACTTCTGTGCAACAGAGAGGACAATAGATCAACAACAAACTTAGCTTGTTCTTGTCTGTGGATATGTCTAGTCAATGAAGCCACAGTTATCTTTTTTTCTGAAACTTCTTACCCCAAATTGCAGATGCTATCTCTATTGCAGAAGATGTTCTGCTGCAGAGCACCACCATAGGAACCAGTGCCTTTCTTTTCCATCCACTTACTAAAAATATCAATATTCTTCCACTCTCTATCATCAGTTCCATTTTAAGTCTACATCTTGTCTTATTTTTTGTTTAGTCCTATGGTAACCTACTACTGTATTGGAGTATGTGGAAATTTTCCTGTTTAATTGGGCCTTAGACCTCTGCCCCCAAATTCTGCCTTGTGAGCATCACTATTTTAATGTACATCCATATCAAATCAGGTATCACCCATCTAACATGAGATTCTAAATATTTTTTTAAAAAATAAATGGGTTTGTGATGAAACAACCAGCCAATCGCTGATCCAAATTTGTTGTCTGAAAATTATCAACTAACATTTTATTAGGAATTTCAAGGTCATGTGAAATGGCACACTGAAAGAAATCCATATCAGAGGGTGGTACAAAACAGATGTCTGCTCTATAGCTGAGATCCCACCATTGTTTAACATTGGGAAAGCTGCAGAGGTAATCACTACTTTTAAAGGAGAAAAAGGGTTGAGAACCACAGCAGATTTAGAAATTCTTCTCCACCAACCTTAAAAAATGAAGGGGAATCATGTAACAGCTTCATTTACAACAATGGATTTGGTGCAGGAAAACGTATAGTACTTTTATCTGGCAGTAAAAATATTCCCATATGAATATTTAGGAAATGAAACAATGTAATTCCTCTATTGCTTCTTTTTTAAGTTCTCCAGCTGACAAAAGTCCAGGAAGGTCACATCCATGAATTATAAGCTTTGATCAAAAAACACAAAAGATTGCTTTATAAACAGAAAGAAAGAAAGAAAGAAAGAGAAAGAAAGAAAGAAAGAAAGAAAGAAAGAAAGAAAGAAAGAAAAAGAAAAGGCAACAGCTGCTTTTACCCAGTGCAAGAACAGCATACATATCACAAAACATTCAAAGAGGATGTGTGTCAAATCAGAAGCAGCCTGAATATGTTAGATAACTTTGAGCAACACCCTCTGTTCCAGGATCTGTGACAATATTATTGGTCAATGTAATAGAATGAGAGACCACTTGATTCAGGAATAGCTCTGGGAAAGGAGCTCTGAACTTTAAAATTAAGATTTGGAAACTAGCATAGAAAGTTAAGACCCAATGGTTGTGAAGAATGTGTCAACGCTGCTAACATCGGATGTTCTTGCTTTAACAACATATGGAGATGCAGCCATTTTCCTTCTTATGTTTTACTCTTAGAATTAGAGTTAGAATTAGATGATACTGGGGGGGGGGAAGGAGGAATGTGCATGGGAGTTTAGTTAGACATAACAATACTGTAACTAGTGTGAGAACCAAGGTTTTTTGAAATAAGAGATGATAAGAAATGGCGGGTTGAAGAACTGGAGGGAAAGCCTGCATTATCTAATATCACTTTGGTTTCTCTATAGAAGGTCTTGTCAATGAAAGACGAGAACAGATTTCATTGCATTCTGTATGCTGATTATTGAAGAAATAGTAGATTCCTTTCTTTCCAAAGTTTGTGAGGCCTGATGTTTCTTTCTTAGAGACAGAATGGATCTGGGGATCAGTAAGATAAATGAGGCCTTTTCCATTATCAGTCACCCAGCCTGTCCAAAAGAAAAAACAAAATGCCATTTTCTTAATGTAAGCGTTATATAAACTAGCATGCAATTTTCTAAAATCAAATCAACAAGGTCAGAAAAATTATGTTTCTCTTATATATTTGGACAAATTGACTAAAGGAAGCATGAACTAAGATTCAACAAAAGGGTCAATCCGAAATTTTGTTCATAGGTGCCTATGCATATCTTGGAATGGGGATCTGCATATTTTGCAGGTTTCGGGACTTTCGGCTTTTTCCACCAATAATTTTTTAAGTCTTCCTTGAGTTGAACTTACATTCAAACAGGGGTTGTTGTTTTTTGCAGCATGATGATGGGATTCGTTTGCCATTATCTATTTCCAGGATTTTAAAAAACCTTTTAGTGTAGCCTTAGTAGCCAAGTATACCTTGATAGCTTCCCATTCATGTACTAACCCAGCCCTGATTTGGCTTAGCTTCCAAGCCCATACTAAAAGCCCATCCTATCCTAGCCCATCCTATCCTAAGCAAACGTAATAGTGGAAATGGAGAAAAAGTATTTATTTATTTATTAAACAAATTTATATGGCCACTCAACTCACACATGTTGACTAGTGATTGTGCAACTTTGAAAATGTTTCCATTGATTAAAAGTTGTAATATTTTTAATTAGATTTATATTCCATTTTGATAGTATACATAGCACTTCCTTATCCAATTTTCTGTGGCAACCACCTTGTGTAGTGGGATGGACCAAAAAAGAGTAACTGGCCTAATCACCAAGCAACTTTCCATGGCTAAAGATGGACTGGAATCTAGATCTATTTAGTCTCTTAGTATTAAGGACGTATTTATTGGCAATGTAACAATTAAAAATCAAATTACAAAGTAAAGCGGAAGTAGAATTATATGCTCTTTTGATTCTATGTTCCTAAAATATTTTAGCAGTAAATACTGTTTCTGCAACTGGATCAAAGGACAGAGGACCACAAGGCTAGAAACTGGGATTTTACGAGTTTTAATTCTTCTTCTTCTTTTTTTTACAAAGGCAAAGGTGACTTTGGGTCAGTCACTCTTTCTCAGAATAAGAAGAAGGCAAGAGCAAGCACTTCAAACATTTTGCCAAGAAAACTGGAGGTATAAGTGTCAGAAATCAACAGTGATTTGAACATACCAAATAAATATTCGGTGTCCCTTTGCTTGAGCAGCCATGACACCATAACAACTTTAGTAGAAAAATGTCTTCAGAGTTATTTCACAAATGAGGACAAATGGGATCTAAATTATTTATGGAATCTATTTATGAGAAATTACTTATAGCTTATGTGAAGTGGACCTTAATCACTTGCACCTTCTAATCAATCAGTTAAAACTTGAACTGTTTTGCTGCTGTTGATATACACTAATTCCATTTCATTCTCCCTTCTGCCTGCCAAAATTTTTCTTCTTCCTCTCATCCTCTTCCCATGTAATTATTTAGCATTCTATGGCCATTGAAATTAAAACTCTAAATAGTCACACAATGAAGAAGGTATGCCTGTTCAAAACAAACATCAGCGTTTAATAACCCATTGGTCTAATAAAATGTTAGATTTTTACCACATAATGACTGAATGTTTACAAACCTTGTAAATCGACCACCACATCTGTGCCTTGGGAAAATTCGTAGCAGAAATGACCATATGCAAGACCATATTCTGTGGCTTTGTACTCCATTTTTACTACATTGGTGTTGTTGGATAACTTCACAAATTCTCCTAGAATGTAGGGTTCCACGGTCACACATCCTTGGATAGACTTGCCTTCTAGTATCTGACAAAGAAATAAGAGGGCTGCATATGAATAGTATTTCCATATAGATACTGTCCACTATGTTCATAAGGTTATTTCTCCCTTGTCTGCTGCTAAATTCCCGATAGGCTTTTGTTTTCTCCTTACCAAGAGTACCACCGATGGAATGTAAAAGATTTGTGTAGGGATGTTTTGCTCATACAGTCTTTTGTTGAATTCTGTCACATAGTACTGAGCTGTCATTTGCCGCTCCACGTCATTGAAATGATACGTAATCTCTTTTTCTTCTTTGTATTCTTTGCCAACATATCTAGGGATAATGTACACACGGCACAAATAATATTTTCCATTTATTGGGACTAATATAACACATGCCACAGTAATATCTCATGTTTATCTAGGAAATGTGTTCATTGCTCTTCTCCAATAGCAGCTCAGATATGACATGAATATATATATATTTAATATAAACACATTAAATATGATCTAGGCAGAATGACCATATGAATTTTCCATAGCTGACGAATCACCATCTTATAAGTCAGTCTGGGTTCATAGTAGAAAAGGGAGCCATGGGTCTGAACCTCCTTCTGTTTTCCTTTATTTTCCCCTCCAACTTTTATTTTTTTTTTCCCCCAAAGGAAGGAAAAATACTGTATGGCTGACTTAACTTTTCCTCATGTTTGGAAAGTGTCTAAGGAAATAGGAAAGGATATAACCATATGCAATTGATGGGCTATTAAAATACTCTAGCAGTGGGAAGAGGGCTTGAAAAACATTGATAATATTGAAGGAAGACTTCTCCAGGAAAAATTCTGGTTTTCCTGTAGAGGAAGAGATTCATGATAACATGGATCACTGAAAGTTCCCCACCCTCAGGATTCAGGTTGACCCAGGATATCTGCTATCTTAATGTTGCCCTCTCCTGTTTCAACTTCAGAAGTAACCTGGTCTGGCAATTGAAACCTCTACACTACAGTCATCCTTTGATAATATGGGTGCTCAGTACATGTGAGTACTTCAAGTCAGCAATACCTCTATTGCTGGGGAATTCTGGGAATTGAAAACGAAGTCCATAATCTAGAGGGCACTCAGATTGGGAAAGGTTATCTCAGGAAGCAGATGTGGGAATCAAGTAGTGGAAGACTTCTTGAGTTTGCGTTGTATTTGCCACTTATCCTAGGCTGCTAAAACAACATGTGGCCTCAGCAATGGTGGAACACTTTACAAAGGCCAAAGAAAGATTCTGCTACCAGGAGCCCTATATTTAATCAAAATTCAACATAATCTGGAGCTTGTGTGAACTTTTCCAGATCATATGTTAACTTGAGTCATACCTTCCCAGGGTTTCTTCTTGGTGCAGAAAGTGTATCCAAAAAGCATTCCTCTGCTTGCCTTTCTTTGCCACACTCAAGTTGTCTCCAATATATGCAGCTGTCTCCTGAGCTGTCCACAGCCCAGATATCTTAGAGTATTTCAAAAGAAGAGCATCTAGAGACAAAAATGGATGAACTGGCAGAGCTACAGTTTGTCACATGTGCTTTCTGTAAAACTGCAGCATAGTGCTATCAGTCTCATATTTGCAGAGAAAAGCAAAACAAGATGAATTGCTTTGGACTGAGAAGACATTTCTCAATAATATCTTGCCAATGACTACAGATTTAAAAAACCCCATGGTTATGCCCCCAAAGGAAATATATTGTATTGTATATGATAACTACAAAAACACTAACATCAAAATAAAGTCCTCTGCAGCAGATATAGGACTTTATTTGAAATATCTGGATATCAGTATTTAGATTCTGCTTCTTATTAAATCTCATTAAAACTCATTAAAGTTTCTTTACATCTTACATTTTTAAGAGTATAAATATGATACAAAATCCACCAAAAAAAACAATTGTATCAAGGATAATAGCGAGATCTGAATTCAGAAGTCTTGATCTTTTCTTAACTTCTGCACCCTCATTTCTTTTCTTTTATTTTTGAATGAAAAATACATTTTATTAAATTTTATATCAACATTTTGTTAAAGTTCACATTGGCAGGGTATGAAGCTGGTGTGTTTAATTAGCCTCAACATAGCCATAGGGTGAGTATCATGTCCTTCACTGTACTACCCTCTTTCCAGCAACGAACTACAAGTTTCCATACTTGTCTGACATCAGCAGTCATAGAACTTCTGTATGTGTGATCAACTACATCTTAACTTTAAAGAAGGGGACCCAGCAAAAAGAAGGGAGAGGCCCTTGGAACTACTGGCATTCTATCTGATGTCATGGTAGCATGGAAGGGATAGCATTAATTGCATCATTACCCCAAAAATGATTATGTGATTGGTTTTACATAATATGTAAAACTATCTGTACAATGTACAACTGTACCATACAAGATAGAGCCTGGATTTTGATGTTCATACATTAAAATAGAAATTGGGCAAGGAAAAAAAAATACAAATTCAGAATAAGGCTAGACAATATTAACTGATATTTATTCCTCAATGTTTGGTGGTAAATATGTAAGAAAATAAGCATAGTGCTATCTGCTGGCCATAGCAGTAGGACCCACTGAGCTCCTGATCCCCAACAGGGTGGATGAACAGGTAACCCTACCATGAGCCAAATGGTCCAAATTTATAAATCAGTATGAAAGTGCCAAGATGCAATCAACTTCTATCTCTGCAAATAGTATAGTTTTACTGGGATCAAAATTCCTGGAACAAAGATAATGGTTTAGAAAATGGTTTACACTTACAGTGTGTTTTATGCAGGAGGTTTGGTTTAAAGAATCCTGTATTCTTCATTCTGTCAACTAGCCAAGCTTGTTCAACACCTGAAAGTAGCTTGTTGTAATCATCGTTGCTCAGAATACGAGCTTGTTGCATTTGTTCTTTGACCATGCTAATAAAGGAAAAAGAGCTTCCACTAGAATTCATTAAGGAGGGACTTCCCAGTTCAGAAAAACTACTGGAAAAACTTGGTCCTTTGTACCATGATTTCAGAGAGCTTGAGCTGGGGGAGCTGTTCAAAATGCCTATTCTATTTTCACCTTCATCTTCTTCAGTTGTAGTACAATCACTGGAATGATTTGCAACTGGCTTGTTGACCAATCCTGATGAACAACCTGGGGCCTCAGTCGTGTAATTTTGTGGATCTTTTATTATACCTTCACTGGCAAATGGTTGACTTAGAAGGTCTGTTAACTCTCTTCTATCATCAGAAACCAGTTCCCAGTCATCTTCTGCTTGTGTTTTAACTTCAGATATTTTAGAGGAGCATCCAGTTAACATCATATTGGCAGATTGGTTAATCCAATTTTGTACAAAATGGTCACATTCAGGTTTTAGTACATTGTTTCTTATAGAAGCAGGTACTGACTTTTCACTGGGTAGATCTGGGTTCATTAGTGAATCTTCTGTTCCATCTTCAGTTTCTCCTTCTAAGTCAACCATTTGCCAATGATTTCTATTCATTGGGCCTAATTCTTGTGTACGGTTTGCATTGTCTTCAATGCTTCCTTTTCTAATACTAGAAATAGTAGCATTGCTGCTGTCCTTGGTTCTGGAAATCTTCCCTGAAGAAATTATTCCAAAAGGATCTTTTTCAGATGTAATTGCTTTATCTTGTTTGGAGTTGCTGCTACTAGCTCCTCTGAGTGACTGCTTTGAAGCATCCACTCCTGCCTCCATATGCTTCTTTCTTAAGTCTGGGTCCAATTCTTTTGGTGCATTAGTGAAAGGTATACTTTTTGGAAAGGGATGCTTTAAAAAACCCGTGTCATTTTGAGAGTGTTGAAGTGTGATTTTGTGTAATTTGTTAGTTAATAAACAAAGATCACTCTCTTGAATTTTATTTTTAATATCTTCAATCAACTCTGTAGTGTTCTTTGTTTTCTGCACCTTACCTTGGGGTAGATCAATTTTATTATTGACAATTTCTTCCCAACTAGTACTGGAGCTTGATCTGGACAATTTGCTCCAAGTTCCCAGTTCACTAAAGACTTTATTCCCACTTTGAGAATCAACTGAAATCTCACCAGCTTTGCTTTGATCATCAGAAGTTTCACTTTCCGTCTCTTCATCAAGAGAAACCTGCCTTGTAACAATGTGAGACATTTTCTTTCCCATTTGGTCTTTAAGACCATCATGTCTTTTCCTTGCTTTCTGTGAAATTGGGATTGCTACACTGTGATTTTCATAATGAGAATTTGCTTCAGTAGCACCTATGGTATCCATATTTCTGGTTTCGGTCTTCAGCGTTGTTATACAGGTTCTTGCCTTCCCTTTCCCTGGTCTAATTTTATGGTTTCTGCAAGTACTTTCAAAAACATCACAGACTGATTCATGATGCTGAAAATACATTCTGAGAACCTCCTCAAAGTTCAAATCACAATTCAGAACCTGTTTTTTGACATCTGTTTTGTAGCTATCTGGAATGTAGGATTTGGCATCTGAATTAGGGAAATTTTGCACTTGCAATTGTTCTTTAACTGACATGACCAGGGACATAATGTCATTAGCAAGCAGTTCTTTTTCCTGCTCTTCATTTTGAAGTGAATAACTGTAAACATAAAGCTTCTCCAAAGCTTCCTGGCACAGCTGATTCACCTGATTAAGGCTCTTGCTTTCCCCATACAGTCCCTGATGTACTTTGGTGAGGGAAAAAGCTGCTTTGATAAAACTGTGGAGCTCCTGTTTGCTGGTGACTGGTTCTTTGTCCTTCTTGCTCAATAAACCAATTTCAAAGGACTCCTTTGCTTGTGATAAATAAAATGCTCTCTTTTCTGGAGGACATGCACTTGAACAGCTGTAAGTTAGCAAACATATTCCCCGGATATTCTGAAAAATAATTACAGTGGGAATGAATAGGATTTTGTCAAATTCATGTGTTAATATATATGTTTCAAATCCCTTAAAATCTATTTCAACATGTAATCTGAATTGTTTTCATTAATTTTCAGTTGATTATTTTTTCTACATTTAGTGAAATATATTTGTTTTATTTATTTAACATAAATTTATTTAGCATAACATTTTAAATCACTATTGATCTTTGTAGAAAATGGGGGAGCTTAGTGGAATGCAGTAAAAACACCTTCAAAAATATGAAAAGAACATAATCAGACTCAAATAAGAATTGATATAGTTACAACAGAAACAGAAAAAAAACATACAAATGAAAGATACAAAACATCCAAATTAACAACGAATTTTGTAAGCTGCTCAGAGTCATTTAGGTATGATGGGTGGTATAAACATGTAATGAATAAATTACATATGGGAATTATAGCCTTGAAATGCAAAATAAACCACATTTTCTACTCTAGCATTAAGTAAAGCAAGATTAATAATGTCTTGTTAATTTCAACTTACTGGTAACTAAATATGAATTCTAATAGAAACTGCATTTATAACTATACTTATTCTATGGTAAATGTCAGTGAAATAAATGGAACATGCTTTTATCTATCTTTCTGAACTGCAATATTAATTCAGGCAATAGCAAATAATTGTTTAGAATAACTCATAACTGTTTAGAGTAAAAAACCTCAATCCCTAATGTATGGAGTGCAGTTTAATTTTTTGCTTTATATTTCATCTGCACTACACTAGAAATTTAGATTATAATTTGAATCCCAAATATTAGCTAGGCAGGAGCATATTATATCAGTAGTTGACAAAGACCGCTGTAAAGAATTTTCAGAGTTGAAGAAAACAGTAACACTGATCACGGTACTTACAACTGCAGTGAGCACAAACAATGGTGTGAACTGACTCAAGGCTGCAGCCAGCTTGCAAGCTTCGGCAGCTGAAAGTAAACGATGATCAAATTCTTTAAGAAGGTTCTAATAAAATAATAATAAGAAAATGTACATTGGAAGATACTCTTCTCATAGTTTTAAATGCATACTATATATGACATAGACTTAGTTGCATCTCTTGATTCAGAGACAGTGTATGATAAAAAGAATAGGCTTGAATTACAAACTATTTTGTATGAATAAAAAGCTAAAAATTGCTAAATGTGCCAAAAACAATATATGATAGCAATAAAACATGTGGAATAATGGAATTCTTACAGAATGATTCAATATTGAACTGGAGTAATACATGGGCATATAACATCATCTTATTTGCATAATGTATTTCTAGTCAAATAAATAAGGAATGCTGGTATTATATTAGATGGGATGAGAATTTAATATATGTGTATTTTAGTAAATAAAACATGCCATCTAGGTTCCTGACAGCCTGAATAATTTGTAGTGAATGTAATATAAGTGTGCCTGATGCAATCAGAAATATGGATTTCAAAATTAATTAATGGTACTTGCATTTGAATTAGAAAATGGAGTATATAATGGAATGAATTAGAAAATGGCGTATATGTAACTGGCAATAACTGGAGCAAGTATTTGTCTTTTTATATAACATCTACTATAAATGAAAAAATGAATGGATTTTGAGTGATGAAAATGTGTGTAGAAAGGGAGTGGATACAATGCGGCTGGTTGTAAGGAAAGAATGTTGGTTGAAATAAGTGAAAAATAGCTATAGTAACGGCCTGACTACTTTGTTATAAAGAAGGGAGAGTTGGGTGCATGCAGATAAACATAAAAGGAAGTTGGACAGAGGGAGAAATGGGGAACTTAAAAAGTGTGTATGGTGAAACAAGTAATATAACAAATGGTCATGAATGGATAGATGATGCACAAATGTGGTTTGAATAAAAACATCAATGATGTAAAAAAAGATGTGTCATACAATGAAAATGATGAGCTTCAAATACAAAACAAATATATGAAACAAAGGTGAATGGTTTGAGAGGAAGGTTGGATGGAGCTAATGAAAGTCTTGAAAAGAAAGGTGAAAAAGAATAAAAGGCCAAATATGTGAACTGTATGGATGTGGTAGAAACAAGAATGGTTAGCAAGGAAAGACAGCTATAAAGCAATATGATGAATGATGTTGGTACAAATAAGTTTTAGCTAAGTTTATTTTTCTTTTTTCTTGTTTAATTCCTTTGGTTTATATTCTTTACTCCTTTTCTGTACTCTGCACAATGCTTGCTCCAAAAAATATGTATATATGAAAATTAGTTAAATCAGGTTCATCTCTGCTGTGAAAATAGTTACCAGGCCAAGCTGAGAATTGTTTTTAAATCTGATGTAATCATCTTCACTCATGGATATAAAGATGTCTGCCAAAATACCCAGTGAGGTAGCTATTCCCTAAAAAAGAACACATATGAACAACTATATATATATATTTGTTTGTTTCTATTTTAGGCTACTTCAAACATGTCAAAAGAAAGTAAAAATACCATCTAAGGCTCTTTATCTACCTAATTCCTAGTGGGACAAGGAAAATCAGTTTTTCACTAATCAGGAAATATTAAAAGAATATTTGCTTTTTTTAAAGAAAATTTGCTTTTTCATTGCAACCAATTTGCAACAATCTATATTCTTCCATTTGTGACCAGATCTGATCATGAAGGTTACAATAAATCTGGACAATATGAGGTAGTTGAACAAGATGAACTTGTAGACACTGGTAAATAATAGAGAACAGTGATATCAGGTACTTAAAGGTTTTATGCCTGCTGAAGCAACTCAAGATTAATTAGACATATCAATATTTTTTCCAGATTAATAGAGAGCTGAAGAATACTAATAAACTAACTCACATCGCAGATGCAAATATAGAAATAAGGAAATATATTTAAATTTCACAATTAATTCCCCATCCATATCACCTGCCATTCTTCAATTATTCCAAATCAGTAACTTCTCTTCAGTTAATTTATCTCTAATTAATTTTCCACACTGATCCTGTTTAAAATTAAATTTGCCTTCAATTAATCACCCCCTTTCATCTTAAACTAAATTACTTTAAGGTATAAACTGCAGAGTCATACTTTTGCTGTGATGTTGTGGTGACAGATATGCCTGCCTGGACGCATGAATCCATGAGAGAAAGAACAAAGTGTCCACATTCTTCTAGGAACTCTATTTCTTTCTTAGATGCATTCATCTGTATAAACCAGAGTCTCAAAACTTCAACAGCTATTTTACTTTTTAAACCAGAAAAGAGAGAACAAAACTGTTCCTTAGATGACAATGGCTCAAGCACCAAGGGCTTCAGAAAACATGGAATCTTGCCTCTTCAAAATATTTTTATGAAGCTGTCTGTTTCTTTGTAATCATTTGAATGTATACAATCAGTGTATAACATGTCCATTTTTAATATGAGCTTTTAATAAGCATACAAAATGCTCCAACATAGGCCATTACTGGGTAGAAAATATTCAAGGTTTTAAAAAAGTACATTTATTACCTTCTTATCTGGCTGGGGAAGCGTAAAATAACCCAAAATTGAGGCCCAAATCAGCTCTGCTGCTTCATACCACATCCCTGAAATACAACACCCATAAACAAATGTTCATTTTTAAAAAGTTTGTTTTATTTTTCAAAAAGAGTTTTACTAGTGATGAATATTGGAGTTTACAAATTCTGATAATGACAGGGATTGAGCATTTCATGATAGGAACTAATACTCTTAATGAGTATTCATAATTTATTTGTTACCATTGTCAAGAAAACGTATTTTATATGAATATCTACATCTATTTTTTTCTCCATATTAAAAGACAGTAATTACATTTCAACATAATGCAAAACAGACTGTGTATTAGAAATTATATCAAATCTTCATATTTTTGTTAAGAAATATTTTTCAGCATGAAAAATCTTTTCTCATACTAGAAGATCCTTTTGTTTGTGAATGAATATCCATATTAGTGCCTTCAAATCGGTCCTGAGGCCTGGCAATGACATGGAATCCATGAAGTTTTATTGGCAGCTATAGATGGTTTGCAACTGCCTACTTCCTAATACCACTTTACAATGCCTTGGTAAGGCCACACTTGGAATACTGCATCCAGTTTTGGTCACCACGATGTAAAAAAGATGTTGAGACTCTAGAAAGAGTACAGAGAAGAGCAACAAAGATGATTAGGGGACTGGAGGCTAAAACATATAAGGAACGGTTGCTGGAATTGGGTATGTCTAGTTTAATGAAGAGAAGGACNCCTAGAACTAAGGAGAAACTTCCTGACAGTTAGAACAATTAACCAGTGGAACAACCTGCCTCCAGAAGCGGTGAATGCGCCAACACTGGACGTTTTTAAGAAGAAACTGGACAGCCATTTGTCCGAAATGGTATAGGGTTTCCTGCCTGAGCAGGAGGTTGGACTAGATGACCTCCGAGGTCCCTTCCAACTTTATCATCATCATCATCATCATCATCATCATCATCATCATCATCATCATCATCATTACACTTGATAGGGAATGACTGACCCAAACTCATCCAGTTAACTTTGGTGCCTAAGGCAAGATAAGAAATCCAGTCTCCCAGCTACTAATCCAATGTCTTTAATCACTATACTAATTGGCTCTCAAGAGATAATTGCTGTTTTGTTATTAGTGTTATTATGTGCAACTTCTTATCTCCTTAAGTATTTATTTTTATAGGGTTTTCCACCAAGTTCGTCCATATGAAACAGTTATTATGCAATCTGTTCCAAAGTTATAGCTCATAACATCAAAGAAAGTGAGATTCTTGGATTTATCTAACAAACCTACCCAGTTTCTGTAGAATCTGTCCTCTGATCTGTATACAGACAGATTGAACAAGAATACGATCACTTTCTTTACAGTACTTCCATACTCCTAAAAAGCAAAAGGAAAAGGTCAGTAAAATATCATTCAGAGCTTTAAAGATGAGGAATAATAATAGTAAGACCAAAGTTTAATACTTGTTTGAAATTAATAGTTCTTGTTTTACAGCTAGTTGTTTTGTAACTTTAGCTCTGGGAGATATTCAAATACGTAAATATATGATTATTTTATATTTTATTTAATTACCTATATTTATCATTGGATTGTAATTACAATGGTATCTGCTTATATTATATATTTCTACAAAGATTCATTAATTAACACACATACATACACACACACAAATATATATTACAGTTCTTCAGTGAGCCAAAATACGGCTATTAAAAAATAAAGATATATTAAAATTGGTTCCCAATAAACTTAAGATGCAAGATGAAACATGAAAAATTGAAGAAAACCAAAATGAAGTTTTCTCCCAACAAATTTCTTTATAACTTAAAGAAAATACATCCAAAATTATTTGCATATCCCAATGTAGGCCATAATTATCAACAACTGGAATTTATCAATTAAAATGGAAAGAAATATAAAAACCATAATTTATTTACCTGTTGCCCCATTGTCAATAATAAGACTGCTAAGAATATATTCAGCCTTCAATAATTTACCTAGAAATATTAAATATTTTTGTTATAATCAACATAACAGGGCAATGCCACTTCATGAGTAAGGTTCCTTGAGTTGAAATGATCACCAGGGTGAATACAGACAGCTGCATTAGTTCACATGCAACTGCACACACGCATCAACTTTGTGATAATAATTTGTCACCATGCTTGACATAATCACAGGTTTTCTTTTAAATAAATGTAGCTTTCCTTTAGTGAAAAATGGCATATGAGGATCTATTTGTTAACTTGGGCTGTAGTGTCTTGTAATCATATTGTAATGATCAAGACCCACCTTAAATTAGGCTGAGACCAAGCAGCAGCCTTGGTTCGAGACTGGCGATATATTGTAGATCAGGAGTGTCCAACCTTGGCAACTTTAAGACTTGTGAACTTCAACTCTCAGAATTCCTCAGCCAGCTTTGCTGGCTGAGGAATTCTGAGAGTTGAAGTCCAGAAGTCTTAAAGTTGCCAAGGTTAAGGACCCCTGTTGTAGATGGTCTCAGTCTCACCCTGTTAGCTAAAGCTGTGATTTATTTATTTGGAATTGAGCCCTGCTGAACACAGTGTATTAAACAATGAGACAATATACAACCTTGAAATGCTTAGTCGTGTATATATAGGCTCAGATTCATCCAAACAAATACTTTGTTGTTTGTTCTCTTTGAGGTCTTATGCTTTTGATATGCTACTTTGACTGACACTGAATTAAAAAAATGAACAGAGACCCCTCTCTCTATTTTGTTGACATATCTATTTTTCAGACTTGCCATGAGAATGCTAGAAAACCTAATATTTCTGCTTGTATTGTGTTGGAATGAAATTATTTTTAAAAGATTATAATTTCATTACAGTTTACCAAACTGCTGAACAAAAACAGATTTTATTTTCTTCTTACAATAATCCTTCTTCCAAAAATAAAGAGCCAGTCTGATGTAGTGGTTGAGGTGCTGGTCTAGAAAACAGAAGACTTGAGTTCTAGTCCTGCCTCAGGCATGAAATATGGTTGAGTGACTCTGTTTCAGTTACTCTCTCTCATCCAAACTCACAGGGTTCTTGTTGTAGAGGAAAAAAGAGGACGAGGAAGGAGTATTATGTATGTTTTCTGCCTTCGGTTACTTATGAAGTAATGAAGGCAGGATAAAAATCAAATAAATCAAATAAATAAATCAGTAATATATTTGACATCTGAAAAACATCACAATACCATTTATGTTCTTTGCTGAGAGTGAAAGAAATTCCTCAGGTTAATTGTACAATAGTATTTGTAACCTTAAGTATCTGCAGATTTTTTTTAACCCCTTATATGCAGCTTGAACTGTACCCAGAAAATATTAGAAATGTGTAATCTATTTTAAGGCACTCTTGTTCCAAAATACAGCAATTTACCCCTCGGTGTTCAAAACAGCAGGGAGCAGCCTTTAGGTGACAAAAGCTCTAATTAATGTTTTCCAGATTATTTCACAATTTTCTCCTGTTTTTCTTCTCCATCAGAAACTTTGTGTTGGCAAAGTGCGTGGCATAAAGAAATGTCACCTTTAGAATGGGACAAAGTATCCTCTTGAAAGTCAAGCATCTTCTAATTGGAACTAGGCCAAGAAAATGGAGAAAGGGTCAAGGGGCTCGCAGACAGCATTTCTTTACCTGAATTCACAGAGATGCGAGCCTGACGGATAACCAGCTGAGGAGCAATCGGTACCGTAGGCTCAAGCTGATGCAGCCGTTTGACAATTTGAAGAAGCTGGCTGGAACCATCAACCCAGTATAGAAATCGGTCAACCAGGAACGCAATAGCTGTTGCTGTCAGATAGTCTCTGTTGGCAATGGAGATTTTTAAGCAAACCTGAAAAGAGGACCAAAAACATGTGAATAGGAAGAAGCTGCCCTAGGCCTAGGGCAGTGGTGGCGAACCTATGGCACGGGTGCCAGAGGCGGCACTCAGAGCCCTCTCTGTGGGCACGCGCACTGTCGCCCCAGTCCTAGGCCTTCAGCTGGGTTTTATAAAACCTTTTCGCTTTAGGCCTCCACCGCTGTGTGCAAAAAAAAGAAGAAGGTTCAATCAATCAGTCAATTTCAACTTCTCTCAGGAAAAAAAAAGATCTTGCAAAGTTGGAATTGATTGATTGAACTTTTTAGTCCCACCCAGTCTGCCGTTACTACTGCAACCATGCCCACCCCATGGGACACGCCCACCCGGCACCCGACAATGCATAAGTGGGTTTTGGGTTGCAGTTTGGGCCCTCGGTCTCTAAAAGGTTCGCCATCACTGGCCTAGGGAACTCTTTGCAGGGGACGATCCATAAAATACATCATTCACCAGGAGATAGAGAAGGTACCAAGCTGCAATATTTGTTCACTTATTCCTCTGAAAGATGTTTACACTTCCCTTGAACTGCAGAAACTCCCAAGGCAAAGTTGGGAACTATTGCATCCAATGCAGAAAACGAGTAGAAAAGGTAGAAACAGATTTAAATAAGACCTTTACAAAGTATGGTATACCTTTTCAATATAGCAGCCTGATATTTTACCTTTGTGTGCAGTGACATTTATTTCTGTAATTTTTCTGATTCACTCAGCTTGTTAACCAAAGTTAGATTATTCTGAGAAACATAATCATGTAAACAAACATACATTGTACTAAGCCATCATTGGTTTAGTTTTTTTAATATAATATTTTATCAATTTTCCAATTTTACATTTAAGTATTTAAAAAAGCAATGTGGTGGCTGGGATAATCAATAGTTCAATAACGAAATCTTTAGTACAAATCTCAAGTTACAACCTCAAATATTTCCTCTTTTTTCCCCTTAACAATTACTGTCTCGTATTTAAGCTAATACAGTTTTTATTATATCAACTCAGTAAAAACATCATTATTACATTTATTTTAGCTTATACGTATCTTAATTAGTTTTTACATTCAATCTTCATAAACAATCCATATCCTATTATTAATTTTTTCCCAATTTTTAGTTTCCCATCAATATTCCAATTTAACCTTTGATATTTATAATTTTCAGGCTTTAGGTAACCAAGATTTCCCTTATCTCAATTCATAACAGAATCTAATATCCAAAATACACATTTTATCTATTTAAATATAATCTTGTTTTATTTCCTAAAAGTTATCTATTTCCCACCATATTAAATCATCTACTTAATAATACAATATCCCCTTTAATAAACCAAAACCATTATATATATTACCTGGGTTATTTAATAAATCAAATATATTCATAATAATATTTTTAAGTCTAATTTTTAAATATTAAACAGATAAAATCTTTATTTTCAACTAATTTCCAAATATTTTAAATCTAATGATCAGAATTCCCCTTATCTCAACTTCTCCCTTTAACCCTCTAATTAATAATATGAAATCCCCTCTAATAAATCAAAACCCCAATTTTCTTCAGCCTTATTCTGGCTTTCTTCTTTTGCCAACTAGGCTTCCATATCAGTTTTAGATCGTCAAATAGATCTCCCTCTATTATTATATGTGTTATTTGAAATAAAGGAGACCATTTAATTGCCATTTTTTTGGAAGGACTAGCCCATTTATATTCATTAAATTGTCTCCCTATTATTCCAATTCCCCATGATTGCCCTGATATGTTTATCTTCAATTCAATCTGTTCTTCTTCTTTCTCAAATTTCTTCTGATTTATATAGAAAATCTTTTTCATTTTCAGTGTTGTCACTCCCTTTTCTGGATTTTCTATTAACTGTATTTGTTGGTCAATTGAGTCCTCTGTCTTAATATTTTATTGTTCCACTTCTTCTGTTATCTTCTGCGTTGTTAGTTCTTTGGTTGTAGTCAAAGTTTGGGTTTGTGTATCTAAGCTGGCATCTTGATCTTTTATGTTAGGTCTTATTTTATCACAAGCTGAAAGAATGGTTTCATGTATTGCTTCCAACATGGAAAGGATCTTTTCCTGGTCTTCATTCATCTCTTTCACGTGTTTATAAATAGTCTTTACAGTAGAAATCGTTTATCAAGCAAGATTTTATAGTCCAAGTTATTTCATCATATAGTAACCAATATGCCTCAAATAAAGAGATAGGAAGGCAATTCCCCACATATAACTCTGAAAATCAGTAAAGATTTACATTCACAGTTCAAGTAGGCCAGTTATGCCACCCAACTGTTCTCTTACAGCTGAGTTTCTCACAGGTGGTACCAAGGTCAGAAGAGTCTTATCTGAGGTCTGGGCTTTAAGCCAAGTCTCTTTTAGGAAATAACAAGTTGTAATACCAAATGTTGCCACAAGATGTCACCAATGCCGTTAAAGGTTTTTTAAGTCCAAAATTTTTATAATCCTTTTTCCAATTTTATTTCTTTTTTGTAGATAAAAGCAAAAATCTCTAATAAAAATAGGAAAATTTTTGGTCCCCAAGTTTCAGGAACATATAAATCCAATTAGATTAAAGTTGTTCTTTTAGTGCTTTAATTCCCCTGGGTAGTCAGTCACTGCTATTCTTAGAGGGTGGGATAGAAATTCCCTTCCCTCTCTCCTCACAGGGGGAAAGATACTTCAGGCAGCTTTTACAGGAAAAGAAAGTACTTAGGGTAAAGAGAAGATCGGATCTCACCCAGTTTCATCCGCATTGCTTTCGAAGTGCTTGGTGGTAAGTTTGACTTCGGGTGTCTACAGCCTAGTGACTATTACTATGGCCGGTATTTCCTCCGCCAGTTTGGAGGGCTGCCCTGGATCGAGAGGAAGGGCTGCCACCCTCCCACAATCAAATGGAGGTTCCCTCCTTGCTTGTCGCCCCTACAGGGTGACTTTTGATCCTTTCCAGGCCCCCCAACGGAGCGAAATCGAACACGGAAGATAGAGCTTGCTTTCCAGCAGCTGCGGCAGCCGCGATGGCAAACCGGAAGTCATTGGTTTAGTTTGTTCATTAATCCACTGTTGCTGGGTTCACAAATAATGCAAAAATATAAAATATAGTTTATAAACTATAGAGACTGAATTCACACCATAGGCTAAACTAAGCCATAGTATAGTTTAAGCTTAATGTGAACCTAGGTTTTAAGTTAGTTTACAGCTAAAAAAGTTAAGTTTGGTTCTCACTAAAATCAATGGGGCTTAAATTGTGGAGAATGTATTGTACAGACTTTAATCAGAACTAAAAAGCAAAAGCAGCACATATTCAGATAAATCAATCTATCTGTTATGTTAAATAATAGAAACAAAATGAAGTTTAATAGAGAGATAGATATACGTCCTGTTCCTGATGTATTTTGGGATGAACCCAGGTCCATTTTATATTATAGAATAATTTATTCAGGTTTGTAGCCATGCATAATATATCTGCATGGAGCACCAATGTTGGGGGCTTCAAGAGAGAAGGCATCTTCAGTGCCTAAAGGAACACAAATTCAGGGCACTTCTGAGATTACACATAGTCCTCGCTTGATGACTGGTTGCTTAGAGACTGTGTGTAATTCCCAAGGACCTTCCCAGAGATACTTTTGACTGGATTTTAAAATTGACAGCCACATTCCCCCACCCCCACCATGTGATTGCATTTTGGATGCTTGGCAACCACCTTGCATTTATGACTATTAGCAGCATCTTATAGGCATGTGACTGACATTTTTGGCATTTTTTGCTGGTTTCCAGCATTTACTTTTGGTTTTCAGCATAAATATACCCATATGGGAAAATGGGTTTGCACTGTCATGCTCCCTTAATGATGGTACTGTTTTCTTAACAATTAATTCTGTGCTCAATTACAGTTGTAAGTCAAAGACTCCCTTATATTGGGCAATCCCTTGTCATGAAGGAGTTCTGGATAAAGCTTTCATACCTAGTTCAAACATTTTATCTGTAGGAAGAACCTCAATGGTTTCAGTGACTATTGGTTGAGTTAGTGGACCTTCAGACAAAAATTTAGTTAGGAAAGTTAAAAGGAATTGATCTCAGCAGGCAGCCTCTCCTATCCAAATTTGGGCTTGGAAGCTAAACTGGGTGAGGCATAGTTATAACTAAATAAAGTTTAGCTGTCTGAAAACTTTACAACAAAAGGTCCAAGAAAGAAAAAAACCTCACAAGGACAGATTTAATTTAAGCCTTTAATTTGCTTTAGAAATTTATAACTTTTGCTTAAGCGTGTTTTTGCTTAATTTAATAAAACAAAATAAGGAGAAACTGAATAAAACAATTAAAAAGAAACAAAAGAAATACGACAGAAGCAGCAGATATATGCTGTTAATTCACCCAAGGACTCAGCTCCAAAACACAATTCAGAAATTTGAAAGCATCTTGACAATAATGTGGAAAAACGGAAGCTTCTTTCATAGAGGAAGAAAGATTCTGTCATCAATTATTGGTCAATGACTGAAATAAAAATTTCTGTTTGTCTATCCTGTCATTAATACTTGGATACTTTCCTGGCTGCCCTCTGCTTCTGTTGTATTGTCTTCTCTTAGGATGTAATTGATCACCAGAAGAAATGATAGAACAGTATCAGGGGGTATCCAGTGGTCAGTCTAAAGAGAGTAGCATCATTCTGCAGACCCTACCTCTTTTGCATGTGCATTGTTATATTGCAACAAAAATGGTGGATCTTACAACATGACAATGTCACACTTGCTTTTATCCTTTTAACAAAAGGACCCAGAATTGTGCACAGCCATCTCTTCACACAAGTGCAAGAACACTCTTTCAGTCATGAGAATTTCACCACATGTCTCTTCTCCTGGTAAAGAAATGTTGAAAGCAGACTCCCTTTCATTATAGTGAGGAAAATTTTCCTGCATATTAGCAGGAATGCAGAATATATGTTTACTCACAAGATCAGGGTGTCAATTACTTTGAAGTGCCCTTAAGATGA